AAAATTCGCAACACGTAAATCCATTTGAGCCGCTGCTGCAATCTTTACTTTAACCTTAAGGCGGTCCAATCCCAGTCCCAGTCCAGCTTTCCTGTTTCCATCTGCCATTCCCGAGTGCTGTGAGTTCTGTGTGTGTGTGGTAAATCCTATTTTTCTATTTTGTTGCCCCATAAAACCACTTTACACAATTTTCGTCTTTTGTTTTTCGATTTTCTTCATGTTGTTCTCCTATCGTTCTTTTGATGCCCTAGTTGTTAACTTCTTTTGAATGTGCAACATAGTGGCTTTGTTTAGATTGGTTTTAAAAAAGAATAGGACAGGTTTTTCAGATAAAAATAATACAAGGACTGTTTCTTGACGATTTTAAAAGGACTCTTTTGAAACGGTTCTTGTAATTTAATTTTAGTATTTTCAAAAAGTCAGGTATTTGGGTATTTAATATTTTGTTTTAAATGTATTTTATTATTTATGTTATAAAATTAATATTAAGAATAATTTGTAAACATTTCATAAACAATTCTGGGCATATTTCCAAGTATATGTTAGGGTATATGAAGACTGTGATAAGGAAAATATTTGGCCGTTTTGATTTCGCTGCTTGTTTTGCAGTCGCAGTTGTTGTTGGCACTGGTGTTGTTGGCCTGTTGAAGCCCTGACTTTTACCAATTATTGCTAGTGCCGGGGCCAGCCAGCGAATTAGCCTTTGTTGGGCAACCAATCAACTGGCGCCCCTCCTCCCAATGGTATTTCTCTGTGTACTTCCCCTTTCGATTGCCGCTGGCTTTTCATTACTTTTCTATCAACGTACTTAGGCCATTGTTGTGCAGTTATTTAGCACAATCAACACCCGATGCCGCTGAGGGTCCACCTCCCTCCTACACCCATTAGGTTTTCCCTTTGTCTTAGCTTTACTTAGAAGGGATATCCTGCTACTTGGGGGAGCTTAGTAAATTTTATCAATGGCAAACATTTTTCTGGGACTAGCCTCCCCGCCTCCCCCCTCTCAAGCATCCTGATGGGTGTTTCACCTGAAGGCAAGATCCTTTGTTCATTTACGTTCCAGTGGAGATGCACACAAAATTAATGGAAATTGCTCTGCACAATGTACGAGGCAATCCACTCCAAGCCAAGGAGGAGACAGTGGTATTAAAAAATTAACAAAAAGCCGGGCTGCAAGTGCCTAACTGGAACTACAAGCTGGCCCGAGTTCAAGGCATTCCATGTAATTGTTGCATGTCCTGCCTCCGCCTGCGATTGCATTCAATTGGAATTATCTATGAATGGGCGAAAGGACAGAGGAGTTGAGACTGAAGGCGATAAAGGATAAGGCAGCTGGGAGCTGGGCGCCCACTGATTGCTCAGGGATCTTGTGGGCTCTTGGACAAGTTGTTAAGCGCTTAACTGGGGCCAGAAATGGTGTGGAAGGAATCGAGGGCTGTTGAGAGCTTGGATTAGGTTTTAAATTACAGGTGAGGTGAGCTCAACAGGATTTTAGGGCGGTTTGGTTGCATCTGTATTTTAGAATCAATAAAATCTTCATTTACCAATGCTGGGAAGTATTTATTAAAGTCTCTCATAAGTATGCTATATTTATTTCATAATGATTATTACTATTTAATTGGTGAAAACATGTTTTTAATTACTGTAAATAATAATGTGGAGAATTTGCTTTACATCTAAAGGCGTTGTAAAAAATTATAGTCCGATCCAAAAAACAAATTTTTTAGTTCCTATAAAATTTTTAAAGTTTCATTTATACTATATCCTACAACTTCTATAAATTATATATATTTTTTAAATAAGAAATACAGAATTTTGACTTTTTCATAACAAGGTAAAATATTCTGTAATTACTTCGCTCATCGTTTAAATTCAAGTCCCATCGACTTGGTCCTTTCTTAATTTTCTCGCTACTTGTTGATTAGTTTTAAATGAGTTTCGCTGGCGGCATTGCTTGACTTAACCCGCCGCTGACTTAACCCTTCACACCCACCTCCACTGATTGATATTTACGCGCTTCGGCTGATTGAAGTGTAATCAGCAGGCAGTCAGTCAGCGAGTCAGACGCTCCCTCACTCAGTCAATCAATCGGAGAAGCTGCGGGCCATGTATTAGCAGCTGAATGAAATGTAAGTGAGCAAATCGTAATTAAAATTGCGCCCATCAGCGGCAACAAAGGCAAAAACAAAACGAAGCGGGCAACAACAAACGAGGCGGCAAAGTACGCTCGAGGACACGAACAATATGCATTAGAGATGAACGCAATGAAGGGCGTGGGAAAGTGGGTGGTGCTGCGGGATCGGGGGCGGGAGCGGGTCAAAGCACTCGACTGTCTGATGGCAATGACGTTGACAGAGACGAGACACTAATGAAAATGCATAAGCAGCTGCAGTCAAGGGAAAACAGAAGCTGCAAATGGGAGTATTGCTGCCTGGGACTGCAAATGTTCCCGGTTTGGGAATCTTCAAATAAATTATGAAATTCGATTGTCCTTAAAATTACAAAAAAAATAATAAATGCTTGACATATTGGCATTATTTTAAGCCAATCAAAGTAAAATGTTTAAATTTTTATTGGATTTTAATCCAGGCTAGCTAATTCGCAATTTAAAGAAAATAGCTGAAAATTAAAATTTACATTGTTCGAAAACTATAGCTTATAAATAAATTGGAACATCTAAAAAACAACTAAATTAAACAAAGTATACATTATTTTTTAATATACTTTTTTTTTAAATTTTTTTAATAATTTTTTACCGATATGAGATAGCTCCGAAGATATGGTAAATGGAACCATTTCCAAGCCTTAGCTGATTAAGGACTCGGCCAGCGAAAAGGGCTGAAACAAAAAGGAGTAACAGGATAATGAGGAGTGCAGAGTGGCAGAAAGGAGTTAGCGCACTGAGAATGCGACTGCAAAACAAATGCTGAAATGGGCAGCACAAAAGATGAAAGCGGCTCACTCATAAATAGGGTGACACAAGTGAAAAACGAGAGGGGGGAAATGCACTGCACCTGTCATGTGTGTGTCTGTCTGATTTCGGTTTGTCCCTGTCACACACTCCGGCACTCAGTCGCCCTGTCTCTATCCCCTTTGTCAAGGCCCATCGCTCCGTCTCGCTCGCGCCCTCCGATCCGGATTCTGAGTCTCCGTCCGGGCGTAAATCAAAGTGAAAAGCGTGCTAATTGCATTAAAAGCATATAAACAAAATGCAATGCAAGTGGCTGTGATAAATATAAAAAGCAACAGCCCAGGCCCTGAAAGGCCTCCGACTGAATGTCACTGTATGTGCACCATATATCTCCCCATCTCATTTTTTTCGCCCCGTCCCTTTTCAGTGCCTTTTGTGCTGTGAAATTAAGCAAATAAGCTAGGGCGAAAAGCAAAAACGAGAGAGCGAAAAAAAGTTATAGAGAAGAGCCCCTGAAACCCTTTTCACATCTTATAAGGCTTTAAAGGTTTCAAAAAAAGGAGGCATATGAAAAGGTTTCGCAAAAAAAAATAATTTAATTTACTTAAAGAAATATCGAAGACAATTTAACTAAACAAATTCGGAACAAAGTGAAGTGTGCAACGCGTCGTATACTTAATATATTAATAACATACGCTATTTTAATAGTAAAATATTATTATAAAAGCCACGGTAGAAATACTAGATTCATCTTTTTTTGTAGATCTAGCATTTACTTAACTTTTTTTAGGGCAACATAAACTTTGTTTCTGACAAGCAATGTTACAATATTCCAACTTAGTCGTAGCCCAATGTCTGATAGTGGCTCATAAATCAGGCAGCCTTGGAACTTATCAAAACGAACTTCCTTCACTCCTTAAGTCGTCCTGGAGTATTCCCAAGTCATTAACCCTCCGTTAAGAAAGCAGTCTGGATAAGCAAGAACACAATACGAGCTGCTCACATTTATGGTTAGCGATTCGAATGTTCTTAACTGCATGTACTCAGGCATCGGCTGAGGTTCGTAGCCCTGAATCCGACCCTTTATAGCACCCAATCACGACTCAAAATGGGAAAAACCACCGCATGCGTAGCGAAAATTCAATCGTACAATGTGTTGATATATGACACGTAATCAAATGTTTAAGTGCATGGCACACGCATCGCCAAGTCAAGGGGCCCAATCTCCCATGTTGAAAATATGAACAAAAATCTATAGGAGAGGGTGGCCTGAGTACACACAGAAAATCCGACAAGTAAATATAATAACAATAAAATGAAGCAACGACATGAATGCCATCGCAGCGCCAAGGCGAGATATTATGACACTGCCAGCAACAATAAAAAGTATAACAGCGAAAAGAATGCCCGGCAAGGACAATTGCCGGCACGAATCTTTTCCCCGTTCTCGGTTTTCTGTTCCAGGTCAAGAGCGCTCACAATGAAGACGATGACAAGGGGACGAGGCATGGAAAAATTCCGACAAAAATAATCCAGCCAGATTGGAAAAATGACATACCCTGACATCCAAAAAACATATTTACAATCTTTATAAAATAAACATATTAAGATTAGGGAATGTAAACATAAGGACTTCACAAAGAGTTAAGATTTTGCATTGTGTTCTTTAAAGAAAATAAATATTTTAAGATGTGAGGAAAGAAAAAAGAAGGAAATCAGCTCATTTAAAAAAAAATTGTCTATGAATAAGAAGTATAATAATATAGTGGTACTATAAATTTGCTACACATTTATATTAAAAAATATATATAAAATAAAAATAAAATAAATTTGCTACATATTTATATTAAAAAATATATATATAATAAAAATAAATATAAATTATAAGTTATATGACAAAATAAAATATCCCTAATAATCATAAATATTATTAACGCGAATTCTTACCACCTAATACTTACAAAAAGTTCGTCATCCATATACTCCCACACCCGATAAGTACAGGGTATTAAAGAAGACAGTGCCAGAGGTCCTGAAAATATGTTGGCAGTTACTTCCTTGGGGCGGTGCCAACAACAATCAAGCAATCTCATTTGGTTTTTTTTTGCATTCTTTATTTTTTTTTTAAAGACTTAATAACATTCATTATCCGCATTTATTTTACACTGCTACACAGGGTTGTTTGGCTTAAGTTCTCTATGGTTGGATATGATTTCGCTAGTTATGGTCTTAGTCTAGGTAACATTTAACAATATGTTCATCGTACAAGAGAGAGATAAAGATTTCCTCAGGCGAGATATGCCTCAAGGTGTGCGTCAAACATTTAAGTGTAGTAAAATCATTTTAATGTGTGGGGTGTGTTGATTTATTCATTCCAATTGTCAAGGATTTTACACAGTCAGATATTGGAGTTCATTATTAAGAAGTTTCTTTATTCAGCGAAACTTTTTGTGTTCTTCAACAAATGAATACAAGATATTTTTTTGTAATCTAAAATTAATTTATTTTTGCAATACTACAACATAAATAAAAAAAATGAAATATTAAATATTAATTAATGGTTAAGAATCAACGATTAGATTAAATGATTTTTTTACTTGTACAAATTACAATGTGTTCTAGGATTCTGTTGGCTATATTACTTACTAAGCTTTAATTAAAATCAAGTTCTTAAATCGATCATTTGTTTCTTTTTTGTCCTCTATTGATTCAACGTTTATAATTGTCATCCTAAACATTAAATAGCTTAAGAATCTCTCCTAATTATTTTCTTATGTATTACATTTTTGGCTACTTACTTGAGTTTTATAATTTATACAGTTATGCGTATCATTGAAAATATGTTTTCACTTTCTTATTTTTAAAGCAATTTTATAGCCAACAACTTTGAGCATTTTCCCTAAGACCGACAAGCAAAATAAGCCCAAAAAGGAACAACGACATTTCAATGCTTCACTAATGAATGTGTAATATAAATACGGTAAATATATGGATATGTACATACACTAGTTAAGCGAGCCGCACACGCGGCGTATACTTGATGTGAAACTTGAAACTTGAAATATTTACAAAAAACTTAATAGGATTTTAGGTAATGATACAGTCTCTTTTGATGCCGCGACTGTTCATTTGCTTTCTGGTTAATTGTTATCTACGCAGAGCAGGCTTCTCGCAGCTTAATTGGCTCGACAGGCGGGTCCTGTTTGTGTTGCTCCTGCTGATGTTGCGCCTCCTGCTGCTGCTGCTGCTGCTGCTGCTGCTGCTGATGTGGCTGCCACGGTTGCCATTGCTGCTCTGACAGGAACATCCTTCGACCGCCGGTCGAATGCTACACAGAAATGCTATTAGGACTGGCAGCGCGTAGAGGGAAATGCGTGCAATTGATTTGGAAGCTAATATGCGTGACCAGGGCGCCGATGAGCCCCAGATCGCCCCAAATGGCGCCATAGTTGCTGTTGCACTGGACGAGGCAGCAGCCGCTGCTGCCGCTGAAGTTGCCGCTGCTGGGCGTCGGCTCTTCTTCAGTTGTTTGTCTAGTTTGTGGATTCAAAGCGGGTCAGGGGTCAGAGGGGGTTGGTCAACGAGAGTGGGACGGAGAGAGGCGGATGTTTGGCAAAACTTTTGTGGACACAACTGTTGCTGTTGCACTCGGAAAAAAGCTGGCTCAAATACTACATTTCACACAACCTTTATAAAAAACCCTTGAAGATATTTAAAAAATGCCAAAACATAAATATGTTATATATGTGAAAACCAAAATAATCCTATTAAAGATTTATAAAAAAATATTGGGAATCATTGTAAGAAAGATGTTGAACTTCTTAAAGAAAATTTTAAAGTCTTGCTTTAATTACGAGCTTTGAAGCGTATTATTCAAAATAAAATGAGTCTTCAATTTACAATTTTATGAAGGCTATAAGTCGTTCCTACAATTTACTTTATTAACCCTAAATTAAATAGTTTTTGAATTAAAACCTTTTGCGAATATTTAAATGTTTGAATAATAAAAAATGTCCCATAAAAAATAGTCATACAAATAAATTATGCCCTTATTTAGGCAAACAATCTTTTAAGTGTTTTTCTGTCCACTTCAACAGCAATTTCTACGAGTGCACAACTGTTGTTGACCAACTAACCGCCGGATGATTGATGATCACTCACCTTCGTGTGAGGACTGGGCCTTCTCCATGGACTGACGTGACTTGGACATGACCGTCTCCCGCGACTCCAGGACCGGAATCCTCTGGTGCTTGTCGCTCTCCACACTCTCCTCGTTGCTCTGCCAGTACACGGATGAGATTTTGGCGACACACTGCAGTCGGATTATGGCCGGAAAATGCAAGAACGAGCAGGGAAAACTTTCATCAAATCTGTGTACATTGATAAATGTGTGGGGGTTGGTCTGTGGGAAATGGGAAATGGGTAATGGGGTTGACGGTGGATTGGCCATCCTCTTGACGGCGTAGTAAAAGTTTTATGCTTTCATTAACTCCCCCCACGCGGCCAAATAACCCGAAAATGACCCGCATACATCTCCGCAGGACACACACAAATATGCACACCAACACACCCAGCGTCACCACATATGCAAACGGACAGTGACCCACTCGGTGGCCAAGGGCCGCTGCACAGTTGCCTCAGGTCTATTGACTTGATATATAAATGAAATAAATTAAGTATATACAGAATCTGTGTTTTATAAAAAAATAAATTTCAATGTGCAAAACAAAATATTGGAAAAGGTTGACTAAAAACTTTAAGTGGTAGGTTTTTTTAAATTGCATTTTCTTTTACCAGCTTAATTGAAATAGACTCTTAAGAAATTGTTGAGTACAGAAATAATTAATTCTTATAATATTAGGTTGTTTGGTAATGACATACCGGTTTTTTATTGCCTCTTATTTAATATGCCCAAGAAAACTGAACGGTTTTAGAATATATAATACAAGTTAAACTTAAAGGGCTTCTAATAAAGCGACTTTAAGTGAAGATAAGCAATTAAGGGTTTAAAAAAAAATTTCACTATATTTGAAACCACCGTTCATACTGGCCATGTCATAAGAGCGCTTCGTCTGCCGCCCGCGTTCGCATGAAATTTTGTGGCTTGTTCAACATACATTTGCACTCGCAGTGGTGCGGGTGGTGGGGTGATGGGGTGGTGGGGTGGCTGAGTGGCACAGTGGCTCAGTGGAGCGGTTCAGTAGGGGGCCGGTGGGTGAGTGGCTGGCCAACTGGGTCCGAATGGATAATAATCAACATGAGCTGCCATGTTATGTTGTCGCAAATTGAATCAGAGCAACAGTGCGCTGGCAAATATGTATGAGATTGGATATCGGATGAATGAATGTATCAATTTTCATGGCCGGCCCTGGTACCCCATAATCAGCTTATTGCAAATCCTGGAAGTGAATTTTCAGTTTGGAAAAAATGGGCTTTCAAATGAAGTATTTTTTATATAAATTAAGAGAAATCCGAGGAAGGTTTATATTAAATGGAATATCCCAAGGTGGTAAATTTTATGTTATATTATTACATAGATATTTTAAAAGGTTTTAAATTACATTTTCTTAAATATTTCCTTCTAGTCCCTTTAAAAAATATCCCTTGAAAATTACACTCTAAACACATATTTGTTAGAGAATTTTTAATTTTTCAATAGCTAATATTATTGGCGATTGTGGCTCTATTAACTCACCTTCAACTTCATGTCGCCGTGCTTGAAATGTCATCCGCGCACCCGGAACTCCAGGCCCAATCGGGCGACCTCCAGCCCCTCGCGGCCCACAATCAGGGGTTCAAAAGGTCGCAGCAGCGAGCGGTTCGCGTGCATCCCGTTAATCAGCCAGCTGAGATGGCAGACCGGCCTAGATGCCGCCGAGGTGCAATTGACGCGCACCATGTCGCCAATTTGATACCGAGGCTGTCCGCCCGTGATTTGTGGTCCGTGCTTCGGAGTCACTGGAATTGCGGAGAAAATCAGAGGTTTCAGATTAGGAGGATAAAACTGTTGGAAGTTACTAATGCAGAAGCTATTTTGGTGCCTAGAGATGAAAATCAGAACACTAATAAGTTAAATATCCAATTTGGAATTACTTAATTAAATTCAAAGTCTAGAAGACCATTCTATACAATGAATATCATTTTACCCCATAGCGTAGATACTACGAAAAAGTTTTTTATATAATACAGTTGAGATCAAATAAAGCAGAAATTAGGCCGCGTCTACTCATTAAAAATAATTCCAAATGCACACTTCACATTTGTTTTTAAATTAAACCCAAACACTCAGAAACATTTTGGTTGGACCATTTGATAAATAAAGTTATATTTTCCAAACCAGATTGATGGTTAGTTTTGTTACCCCCATCCATTTAACGGTGGGAAATAATTTTTGTGAGCTATCAATTGGGCAATTAAATCGATTCCCATCCGCAACAAATAGGGCAATGCAAATTTAGTTTAAGCTCAAATAAAATAGACAACAATAAAAATGTCGAAAACAACTCCTTGGTGCGCTATAATTTTTGATCGTTGTAGCATTTAATTTTTTTTATCGTTCTTGTTGTTTGCCTTTTGTGGGTCACTTTGTGTTGGCCATGAAGTCCAGCAGCTGGACAGATGCCCAAAGAGTGAAGGGGAATGAAGGGGCTGCAGGGCAAAGCCATGTCTGCTGGCCGACCTGGCTGCTTGCCAATTGGGTCAAAAACTGTGGAAATCGAACACAACTAAGGCGAAACTTCAATTAAACATAATCGATAGTTTCGCACTGATGAAAAGTTTAAGAAAATGAAAGGAAACTTCAACGTTTATCGAACAAAAGAATATTTCTTTCACACTTTTCCTTCGCTTCCTAATAATGGTAATATTGCGCCAAGACTTTGCCAAATACGAACAAAAAAGGAAGAAGAAAATTTATGAAGGGTACACTGTAAAATAATTTGTGATTTAAAGATGAAACTTGTTCAGGTAATTCACCGATTACTTTCTTTAAATTTATGAAAAATCTTATAAATAATTTCCTAATAATAGCATTTTAAATTTTAATTAACAATTATAAACTAATACCTACAAAATCTTTTAATGGTTGAGAAAAAATAATTTTTACACATATTTTTGTTTAGTATTGTTTGTTAAATTTAACTTACAAAAATATTTTCAGATTTCGTTATTTATAGAAGTGTCCAAAATAGGGTCAGAAGAAATTTCTTTTCCTTCAACAAATTTTTCTTGGTCCTTTTTTCCTCTTTCTTAGAGTTTTCCTTTTTCCACTCTTTCTTATTGTTCGGCTTAACCGAACTGAACTGCATAAATTATTATTTTCAGCGACTATTTTTACGCTGTCCTGACATTGATTAAGCTGTTGATATTTTGTGGCACTCCCTTTACGATTTACTTTCCTTTAATATTTGGCAAAATGTTGAACATTTTTCCCCCGTTGTTTGGGTTAAGGGACTAGAAGAGCTTACATCCCCTGTTGTGTTCTGCCCCAGTATCAATTGGTAATAATTGCTGGGCATTTTTATTCTTTAGCCGCTATTGTCCGGCTTTGTTTGCCTCCGAGGGCCTTCAGACAAGGGATCAACATGGATCCAGTTTGTTTTGCGTGGGCCGTGCCCTTGGGTTCTGCTTTGTCCCGGACTCGAGTGAACAATGGATTCAATTGAGCAACTGAAACAAATATCTAAGTAAATCGGATGCCTAAATAAACTAACAATTTTTCACCTTAATAGCTTTTTGGCCCACACATCCCCACACAAAAGGTCAAAGGGCGCAATTGATTGAAAAGAAACGAGTTCAAAAACTTCTTAGCCACGTTTTTTTGTCGATGATATAGTCCTAAGTATTTTTTTGTTGGGAAAGGTTACATTTATGACAAAATGGTACTCCTAATGAAAGTAGTTATTTATAAGTGCGACACTATATTATTTTTAATTAAAATATTATTATTAATTAAAATACATATTCAGTTCATAAAGTAAGAAAAGATTTTTAAGTTTTATTATAAAAAAGACTCACATTAGAATACCAAATTACAAACAAGTCATATCTTTCAGAGACTTAATAATTTTTTGATTTATCGCCTATTCAAACAAATTCAATTTAAATAAACTGTTAAATTTCTATTTTAGTTTACTATTGGGCAGGAATATTTCTACTTGTTGAACTTTACAACGAATTTCGCGCAGGATTAAGTTTAACCAATTTGTCCCACCGGATGCGGCCATCATATGCAACTGCACCGGGACGACAGTATTTTCCGCCCATTTCCCGCGAATTTCCACCCGGGGAACGCTACGTTTTCAATTTCCTCGCATACACTGCAATTATAGCATATGCCAGTTGATGCTGGCTAATCTAAGGAACTGGGTCAAACACATTTGGCAACGTCAGGCGGACTTTCCCCTCTATAATTGCATTCAATTATTTCGACCACAATAATAGCATTCAGTCCAATAAACCCATTTAAACATTTTCGTAATTTAAATGAGATTTCAAACAAGCAACTTAAATACAGCATTTAGAGAATCCCTCTGCTTATCTGTGTTTTTTTTGGCATCACTTTTTCTGGCTTACTTCTCCGTCTGCATTTTGATGGCACCCAGTTTTCCACTTTTTCCGGCGCAGAAATTCATTAGGTTTATTGATCTGCAAATCGTCATAGCCATTATGCCTCTGATTTAATCCGCTTACATTTGAACTGAATAGCGGCTTTTACTCACCACCCCCCGGGGACTTATTCCTCATCCGATTTTTCTCAATTAAAGTCTAAGCGTAATTGAGTAATTTCCAGCTGAAAACGGAAGCGCTGATTGGTTGACTTTCATCCCTCTCGCTTTCCCTCAGTCGAGGAAATATTTAGTTAGCCTAATTATGCGATAAACCAATTTTGATTGCCTCTCTCCGGAACCCTCTCAACATTTCAGTGGACGGAAATGAAGGTGAAATTTACCGGGCTCAAACAATTGTGCCGACTACTGTCGTTGATAAGCATCATCATCAACTGGGGTTTGCCGATGGGATATTTGGGTCAGAGATGTGTCGATTTCATCCTCTCTAGGGGGCTTATGTCATCGATGTTTAGATATGATATTGATTTTGGTTAGATGATTTGGGTTCTTCTTTAACAAGAAACATATACCATAAATCTTATATTATTTATGTCTCTAACTCAGGGAACCTCTTAAGTTTTTAGCAATAAGAATTGTTCAACTAAAGTCAAATAATATTGCTTTGTTAAAGCCCAGGTCCTTAAACAAATTATTATCTTTTATCTGTTGGATATTTTTTCGCTCTATCCACTTTAGTCTCATCTTAAATTATCTGGTGAAACTGAAAATGTATTTTTCCCTCTCGTTTTTCACTCTTATTAAACACGTTTATTCTAAGTTTTCCTCGGCAGCAGTTTTTCATATTGCGTTCGGTCATATTTTGCGCCATGTTTTGTTGGATTGCGCAAAAATTTCAAATTAAGTTGCAGACTGGGTGAAAGAGAGGGGAGATGGTGGCAGAAAGAGAGGGAGAACGAGTCTGGGTCTGTGGAAAAATCCCGAGCTGTAAGTGAGCAACAGAATTGCATCACGTACATGGGCAATTTGCCAGTGGAATACAATACAAAGGACACACACACATTGAAATTCTGTGTTGGCCAGAAAAAGGATGGCCCAAAATTTGCTTTCCGCCTTTCCCACACTATCTCTATCCCTGTCTCTCGCCGCCCACTGGCTTTTTTGGCACAGGTTTTCTCCTCGAGAATTTGTAAATCGCAGCGAGAAACAATGCCGGGCATAAACTAAATAAATGTGAAATATTTTATGCATTTTCGTAGTGGGCCAAAACGAGACAGGAAGATGGAAAGTAAAGGAGGGGGCCGCACGAAAGACAGAGACGGGAATGGTTCCCGAGAAACAGATTACTTTTCGTCGCTTAGTCCGGTTGCTGCAATTAATCTTGCCGCTTTTCTTCTGCCAAGCTCATGCTGTCTCTTTCCCCGCAAATGTATCTCTCTCTTTTCGTTCATATAATGTTCTCCCTTTTTAAGCCAGTATTTTAGTGTGCATGTTTTTTTGTTGGCCACTTTCACTTACCCACAACAATCATGTCCTCGTGACCGGAAACGGTCTGAAACGAAGGCGCCTCGCCGGACACTTCACAGCGATATCGGCCAGTTGACTGAAGGCTAACTGAGCGCAGGACAACAACCACGTCCGTCGAGTTTTGTAGCTGCAAGAAAAACGCGAGGAAAGAAGGTCAAAAAACGCAGAAACAAAAGTTAAATGTTGCCAAAAATGGGTACACATTGGGTTTAATTTTCAAAATTAGTCTGATTAATAAGTCATAAAATTCTTTAAGGTTATTTTAAAAAGGAATTGAATTTAATTTTCAGGGCTCAAAAAGGATGTCCTAAATGAAGCCAGTTAGCTTGAATCAGCTAACAATATTAAGTCAAGTTAAGTTAATTTTACCACAATCCTAAAACTGGTTAAGTTAAATAACACATGTTTTTTTTTAAATAAAAATAAAAATTCGAGTATTTAAGTCTTGGGATTTATGAAGACTCTGTATATTTAAAAAAAAAATGCCTTACTTATACTGAATTTATGGTAATTCAAAGCATTCGGCTGCCTGAACTTCTACCCCAAAGATTTATTCAGTTTGAATACGAGTTTAATTTGCTTTTTAATTTCATTTACTAGCTCAAATGTTTGAGATCTAATATTTTGAAATATTCAACATCTGAAATTAACCAAATATATGCATATTATGATCCAATGTCTGATCGCCTGTTTTTGCAATATTTTCGTCGCCATCCCTGGAGTCTTCTAGCCCATCTTCTTCATCATTATCTTCATCGTCATCGTCATCCTCTTCATCATAATCCTCTTCATCTTCCTCATCGAGATTCGTGTCGGTAAGGACCTCTAGCATCTCGCCAAGATCCTCATCCTTTACGGGCATCACCTCATCGAGAGATTCCGCAGTAGGCGAAACGTGGAAGCTCTGCATCGTGTCCCTAAACTTAATGGCATCTTCTAGATGCAGTATGCTCAGTTTCTCCTCATTCTCCTGATTCAGTTTTATGGGATTTATTATAGGTTGGCGGATCTGGTCGGCAATCATCCGGACAACGTCCTCATGATCGATGGGCGGCACAGACTCCTCCAGAGATTGTAGCAATTTTGATTTCCTATTGCTCATTATTTACCGAATTCCTATGCAAATAATTTATTTTCCCAAAAATTTCAATTTATATAAGTCCAACTTTGTCAATGATTTCAAGGTGAATAAAATCCATGATTTAAATTTGATGTGGCACAGAAAGGTACCTCTTCCCAATCCAAGTCAATTAATATTTAACTAACGTTTAAAGTTTGGAATATTTTTAAATACCAATTTACGATTTTCCATTGCCTTAAGGTATTGTATATTCTGCTTTTAATTGGTTAATTGAATGAATAGAATGTTTTCACCTATAATTTTGAATTTATCATTGTTTGGAAACTATAACTAAATGTTGAAATAATTTTATTAACAAGAAATAACATCAACAAGTTAAAAACATATAAAAGTTTTTGTTGTTATGACTTGTTTTGTGTTTTGTAACTTTTTCTTACCTCCACATCGACCCCGGGCAGTGGAAAAACTTGACCCGGGGGCATGTCCCTGGGCACATAGCGATAGAACTCAAAGCCGTCCTTGTACCACTTCACCGAGTACAGTGACTCCCCGTCGAGATCGAATTTGCAGCCAAGAGCGGCGTCCTCATGGCGCATTATGTGCTTGGGGATTTTGATTTCGGTCATTGTCAGGCATTCCGCGGATTCTGAAAGACAAAAAAACGAAAAACCAATAGTTATTCACTGGAAATTCACCCAGAATGTGGGCCACTTTAATAAGCCCATAGTTGTGGGCTGGTTTCGCGGTTTCAATGCCAGTGGCAGGACATAAATAACTTGCAGCAAGTGCATAAAAGTCAAGGAAATCGAAGGAGAGTCGCTCCGCCTCCCAGGCAGACTAGAACAATGCGCTTTTGTTTTGCCAACACAATGGCCAGCTGGGAGGGAAAGTGAATGCGACTAACTTGAGCAACGTGTCCTGGTTGGAAAGTCCTTTCCGGGCTAAGATGCTGCCAGGGTGCTGGCAGTGGAAAAGCTCTTGGGCCCCGGCGTTATAACTCAGCACTCGAGACAATGCTGTAGTGAAATGAAAAGTTGCCAACTTATTTAACAGCCCAAGACAAAGACGGAAGACTGTGTGTAGGCCCGTTCACGTTCACAACTGTGAGGGTAATTTGGGTCACACAAATCGAGATATGAAATTAATATTGCAGAGCTGAAATGAGCAGTTAGAAAGTGGGCCAATCCACGGGGGAGGTGTGAAGTGTGCAGCCAAAGTAATCCTTTCGATTGTTTACTGTGCCTGATCACGGACACTGATTTGCTGGCGAGGAATTTAAAGGCTTAAAGTATAATAAGTTATTTGTTATCTTAATTTTTGAAGAAGAAAATTAAATTGACACCGGTTTTTCTTACAAAATCAAAGGATTCTAAAATGTATTTAATTTGGATCAGATTAGGAACATATAGTTATTGTCACGTTAAGTTCTGACATTGTGCTATATTACAGTCCTTGAAGCATTTTCTTTATCAATAAATTATTAGAGTTTGTCTAAGCAGACCATTTGCCATTTGTCGGTCGGCAAAACGAACATTTCAAAGAAAAGTTAACTTTATTTGATCCGAAAAATTAACACCAAATTAAGAAAAATGTTTCCGAACAGTTTTACGTCATTTGAACTTTCTGTCAATTATTTATTCTAATGTTCATTGTATTCCATCATGATAATCTCCAAAGTAAATTTAAGTAAATGTCATAGAAACAAGCCATTAATTTCCTAATTCTCGATTAGCATGTTTGCGCCAAAGGTAATCTAAACTAAGCCCTTTATTAAGTCATCGTAACCACTAATGTAATTCTCCGACCAGCTTATACAATTATATTCAAGTGTCAACGCTTTGTTGAAATCCAATCAAATCAAAGGCACAAGGATATCCTCGCTGTCAAGTCAGAAATAGAACTCAAAGCAAATCCCACACACCTGCTTATTAAGTCCGTCAACAGCTTTCGAAGTTTATTTTTGGGCAAGTTTAAAAATAACAAAACAATCATGTTTAAAAATACAATTGTTGTTGAGCAAAAGTAAAAAAGGTATGTGCCTAAAAATAAAAGCAGAATTTCATTACCCAAAAGGAAACAGTCTTAAAGGCTTTTGGTTTTGGGCATTTACTGGATATGACAAACTAAAAATAAATTTATAAACTCAGATATTAACATTCTTACAGACCAAAAAATATTTTAAGTAGACTCTTTGTATTAATATTGTATAAGCTTTAATTTTGAAGTATTTTTTTCTTCCTATTTATATTACTATTTTTAAAACCAAGTACTAAACGGGTTCCCAATTTTTTTTTTTAGATTTTTGATTAACATTTTGGTTGCAATCCCTTTCTTATGTTTGTTTAACTCTGGATGGCATAGTTTTTCTTTAATGGACCGTGTTGATTTGCCTTACAGGGTATTGGAAGGTTCGAAACCTGAATGGATCCTTGGTTTCCTACTTCTTTGTGGTCGTTCAACCAGCCCGCCAAACGAAGCGACAAACGAACCAACCAACAAACAAATAGAAGGCACAATGCACAAAGGCTAAAAAAAGAAGAGCCGCCGCCATTGAAGCCGATGACGATGTTTATGCCGGTTTGGTGGATGTTAAGGCAAATGGTGGGTGACCAGGAAGTGGGCGTTGTGCCACGCCCACCGCGGGCTTTGCTCCTTTGAGTGCATTTCCGCTTTGTGGCGGCGGCGTCGTTTGAGTTACTTTTTTTCCGGCCGGTGCGTGGCTCCGCTTTGGCGGACACTTTGTGAAATGTATTTCGCCTCTGTGTGCGGCTTAAGTATAATTTAGCATTTTGCACTCTCCAGTAGTTTGTGTACAGCTAGCTGCCTGCCTCGTTGGCGGAAGACAAACAAAGTGCGTTGCCAAAAGGTTTCCACCGCACAAAGGACCTCTGCCAGTGGAAAACTCCTCTGTGCGTCTTTTCTTAGGGAAGTAAGAGAATTTTTAAGGAACTGTTGTGAAAACATCCTTGGGGCACCACAAAAACGAGTCGGAGCCAAGATATGACTTTAAAGATTTTTTGTTTTGCTATAAAAAAATGTTAAAAGATATAACCAACAATTTTTCTTTAATAAAAAAATTTAAATATATTTTCCTATTACTGTTACTTGGTATATGCAAAAGTTTCGAGCTCCATTAAGCCATTTTACATAACAATATCTTTCGAAATATACTGTAAAATTTTAAATTAATGAATTTCCTTTTTTTAAATTTAAAAATTATTTAATGCAGTTTTTCAGCATGTTTTGTAAACAAAAATTAACCTAATGTTTTACTAGGAAAGAAAACGGTTTTAGTTAAAACACCAAACAATGTGTTAAAATACTATATGGATACAGCAACAAGAACACATATTTAAGTGCCTAGAAAAACAGTAAGTCTAATCAAATTTTCTGGTTGTTAATCTATTACCAATTCAAACTTTCATTACGGTATATTCCATGCTTAAAGATTTATTCCGTTGAAACATTTTGTGATGGAGTCTTGGGTCATTCTTCTCCTAATAGGTTTCTAGTTGGTTTTGTAATAAATAATTATTTAAGCGATTACTTTTTTAGCTGTGAATTGCCGAATTTCTTGGAGCTCCAACGAATCGTGCTTTCTTGAACACAAACCTATTTGTGTTTTACATGAAGATTGTGGTTTTACCCTTTATAATAAATGCTTATTAGATTTGCATAACAAGTTTATTATTAATGAAAATAAGCCACGTAAGTAAATGTTAAATAAAGAAAACTATAAATAGTATTGAATTATTTACAGCCCTGAAGACATTTACACCAGGATCGTGTCCAAAGGATAAAAAAAAATGCCTGTACGGTCAAATTTTACCAGGACTCACTTTTCAGTGATCAAGTTTTATATTTCAGTTATTTGATTTTGAATATACCATCTTCTATTTGAAAATAATTTTTAATACACTATCAAATACGCTATCAAATTCAGATGAACTTCTTCGTATAACATTTTTTTAGTACCACATTTTGTACCAGTTTTTACTCGAGTATTAGGTGTTTATGTAAACAAATTTCAAGTGCGCAATTGAAGCTGCCGAAAGTTTCAAGCCCTTACCTCCGGGCCACTAATTAATAAGCCAGAAATTGGAAAGTTTTGTCATTTAACCCGAGCTTAATTAAGAAGAGCCAATGCCAGAAAGCCAAGGCTGAATTATGTGCCTGACAGAGCCGGAAAGTTTTCCATTTGATGTCGTGTAGACGTCATAGTTATGGTCGAAAGGGGATCACTCGGCACTTCCGTCGGCTTACCTTAAAACGAATTGCAGAGCTGCCGCCACAGACAAAAGTTTGCTACTTAATTATTGTTGATTTTTAAATGATTTTATTTGCCGCCCGAGGGCAACAAATGTCAACCGCAGACAAAAGTTGCCCGCCTTCGCGTCCATTTCCCAAAATGAGTTTCTTTTTTGGAGGTTAGTTGTGCTCGAAATCTAATTCAATGTTGAGGGCGAGGAAAAGGGGCTAGGGAATGAGTGTCAAGTGCAGAAGTTTACTGAGCAAAGTTTTGCTTTGCATATCATTATGGCTTTTTGATAGGGTGAGCAATGTCCTTAGTCATCTAAATAATGTGCCAAGGGGGTGGTCTCTATAACTAATGAACTTATCAAGCGTTCCTCAGAAGACGATTTTCTAGGGAAAACTTTTCATCCGATTTATACATTTTTAGAAAATTAACTGAATGAACTGAACTGAACTAAACTATTTAATCAGTGTACATAAGTGTTTAAACAAAAAGCATTAGCAGACTATATAATGTAATGTTTAAAATTAAGAATTTTGCACAAAGTCAATCCCTTAAAATTTAATTTGTGTCCTTATATTTCTGTGGCATTTCCTGCTAGCAAATTGAAATTTCTGTTCAAGGCTATAATAAAAATAAATACAAAAGGAACAATATTTAGCTTAAAACCCATTTTGCAACCAAATGGCAATGATAGCAGTCCACTCAAGCGGATTAGTTACACAATGCAAACATTATGCCCATCTCTGTATAGTTCTTTCCTTGATCATCCAAAAAAAAAAACGAAAAATTCTCGGCAGAGCAATTGCAATTTGGAATCCAAATCTGACTGTCACATGAGCTCAACTCGCCTCAGCTTTGATTCTCTCCCCTTTCTTCTATCCTTTTACCAATAAAACTCGACAGGCAAATGCAAAATGCAATTAATTTTATTAGAGTCCATTGAAAACTCATTGGGAAAACAGTCTACAAAAGGGGGTTGGTGTGGGAAAGGTTGACAAGCCAAGAATTTACGGCCCGGCCAAGGCTTCACTTACAATGCAAATTTTTGCAGACAACAGAGAGGAGACAAGGAAATTATGATGCGGCTCGGCTGGAGAGCTTACTCATGGGTTTTCAGGGGTTGTGGGACCGGATGCGGAGCCTTGAGCAAATAAAGATGTTTTTTCAATGTTTCGCAGACGCCAGCAGCATCAATACGCATCAATCCCCGCCTGAGTACCCCATTCCCCACATCCATACCCTGCAGATCCACTGGACCCCTTTCCCAACCGATGCAGACGCCTAGAACGTGCTTAATCTGCAATCAGAGGCGGAAGTTGGTCTCCATCTCAGCCCCTCCATTGTCCGCCTGTCCTTCTGGTTCTCCGTCCAGTTTAGAGTCCTGTCCCCGTCCTCATTTCAGTTGCAGTCTGCTCCCCGCTTTGATACCCTCGCAAATAGTATTCTAATTTGGACTAAAAATAGCTTTAAAAGTTTTATAATTTTATTATATCTGTATTATTTTCTTTTGGTTTTTTTGTATATTCATTCTTATTAAGCTTTATAATTCGTTATACTTTTTTTTAAAAAATTAAATACTTCATTCAAACCGTTTTGTAAACGAATAAACTAAATAAAATTAATGGGATATGTTTCAATAAAAATCAATATTTTAATCTGCTTATAAGTAAAAGAAAAATGGCTTATTCGTTATTCAAGACACCCATAAATGCTTCCTGATCCTGGATGTTATGAATTACTTCAAGAGTATGGATATCTTCGTTGCACTTCTCCCTTCCCATTATCCTTTGACGACTAGTGCATCCCCGTTGTCCTGGTCGTTGTCATTGCAGTCGCAAAACGGGAGCACGTCTGCCACTCCCCCTGAGCAGCCCTACGCCCTACGCCCCCTTAACCCCTTCAGGCCACCAAAGCCAACAGCTCCCAGTTGTCAGCTCAGTTCAGTTTTTGCTGCATTGCAGGCGCACTTTCATTTGCATATTTCGCAAAAAGAAAAAGAAGAGGAAAACAAAAAATATGTCAGTATAAGGAAAAGATGAGAGCTGCAAAAACTTGGCAACAATCGATCGGATCCCATTGAGTCTGTTTCTTGTTAGATGGTTAATCGCAGGGCACATAAAGTCAGAAGTTTCGATATCGATTCGAGTTGAAGGAATTTTGTGACAATATTTATGTTTGGCATTTGATAGCATGGCGAAAGGCAAAGAAGGCAATTGTTATAAGGACTTAAAATTTAATCCTTTAACATATGTCAGCAATTTCATTCATTTTATGCCAGTCTTCTATTATTCTATTCCCATATTTGCTTCAATTTGTGTTAGGCATCAAAGTCAAATGACTAATGCGTGAAATTAATCAGGCCAACCTAAGTCATCTATCAAAGGAATATGCATTATGCGCGTTATTTTCATTAATTAGAAAATCAATTTAATTACTTCAGACAGACGCAGCTGTAATAATATAATTAAAATTCACTTCGCCCTGCAAGCGCAATAATGTCAAAGACGTCACTGCATGCGTCCCAAATTAACCACTACCCACACATTCTCTCTTTAATGCGAAATAAATGAATTCCTTTTAAATTTAGACTGGAATTTTAACGTTGTATGATCTAACTAATTAAATAAAAAGGTTTTAAAAACTTAAACTTTCATAACAAGTCTCAGAGTTTTAAATCTAAATAAATGAACATTTTTTATCAGGAATAATTAAACTCACACTTATAAAGCTTTCAATAAATATTATTTCATTTTCGCAGAATATATTTTAAACTTAAAGTTCGTTTTGCTTGAAAATCTGCTGAAGTAAAAATGAATGTACAAAATATATTCGAAAGCGATTTAACGTTTTATATTATTTAATTATTTAACAATTTAATTAAAAAGTTTTTCCAATAAAATTTTAAATTGTTTTAATAAGGACTTAAGCTAAATTTGTCAAATCATCTGGAAGAAATTCCATGCTTATTATAGGGAGAAATTCATAAGTTAAGAACATTCACTTATTTACTATTCATGCTATTGGCCAGTAAGCCATAACAAAAGCCGTCAATCTGTTGGCACCTCCCAACCTCGGTCCTTTCAATGGGTCTTTAAGAACACTTCAAGCCCACCTAATCGCTAGAAAAGGCACTTAATAATACTTATAGGTATTTATGATGCCTGAGCAAACCGAACCGAATCTTTAATAAACTCCACTCGAAGGCGCCTCAAGTGTTTGGCGTCTGCGAGAACTTTCATTAACTGAATAAAGGGGATATCGAGAAATGGGGAGAGTGCGTGTTGCTCAACATTAGTTTCATGTGCTGCCAATAAATGTGTACTTCCCTCGGACATCGCTGCTCGCTCTTTGTTAGTTACAATTTGGCCAGAAGTGTGCGCCACGTTAACTTAATTTCATTATTTGTTGCTCGCTTCCAGAATTTTTCCCTTCGGTGCGGCATGCGTACGTGACCTCATAATAGGAAAATAAGATTTCTATCTATAATTCAGGCAACGCTCGCTCAAACCCAAGCCGGCTAAGTGCCAGCAAATAATAATCATTTCAGTTCCCCAGTTTGTCTAGACAAAAATTGTATTTGTCAGTCATTATTATTTCGCTCTACTGTCGCAATTGAGCGTGGAAGGGAAGCTAAGTTAAATAGTAAACACAGATCTGCCACAGAAACTTTTTTGCTTTGACAACTCTGCCGCAAAAGGAAACGGAAACGGAAATGGCAAAAAACTTGAGCATGTTTATTTATTTAATTAAATGCGGCAGCAGGAAAGTTTCGCTGGTGTTTTATATATTTTTTGTTCGCTCTGCCTCTCGGCAATCAAGCTAATTAAGTTGAAGGTTTTCGCACACACACAAAAGATTAATATTAATAAAATATATTAATTGTGGTCGCCGCTAATGAATGATGTGCAAATAATTTAATTGAATTTATGGTTCAGTCAACTGTAACTTTCATTAGCTGTGAAAAGTGACAATCATTCAAACGGATATTGAGTTCTTTAGCAAAAACTACGAACTGTGATATGCTTCATCAGAACGCATTAGTAGTATTTAATTTGTTTGAGGGCTTTACATTTTTAATCATTATTAACAGTACACCTTTTTTTCCGTTCTTAAAAAAACCATTGCAAAATTGTAATATTAAGCATTCACATTTGAACCGAAAGTGTGGTTTTAACTTATGCTGAGTTTAAATTTTTAATTTACAAGACAAAAAATTAACTGTACTTTATATTAATGCCATTCCATAAAAGCTATCTGTAATCATTAATAAATTTGGTTTTTATTTAATGAAGATATAAAAAAATAATGAAGAAAATTTGTAATGGTTTTAAAAAATGTTTATCCCAACATAAACAGTTTTGAATTCCAATTTCCATTTGAAGAGGATATCTAAGACCTTCAGCAACCTCAATCGACATCTCCATCATCTCCGCGAATTAAAAGTATCTTTCTAATTCTCCCTTCTCGTGGTTAGCCGCGACTTTCGCTTGTTTGCCAGTTAATTTTGTTTAGTTTTCGCGCAGCAGTTTGTTGAACTTAATTAAAAATAAATAACAGGCAGTGTTGGCAGTGGCAAACTTGTTGTTTATTAATGCCTTAGCAAGGTCTTGAGGGCAGAAGGGATTTCCTGAAAGGATTTATCCTGGCGACCTGACAGCCTTGACTTTGCGCCTGACTTTCCCAACTTATGAAAGTCTCGAAAGTCTCTATCGATTATTGAATGAATTTCAAATGAATTATCTCGCAGGGGAACACATGGCGTATGAAATATATTTGGAGGAAGCGAAAGTATATTTTTGTGGCTAATTAAAACTTTGGACTTTTCTCTTACCGTAGCAAAGTTGGAGCAGAAGAAAGGCGAGAATGCCGTGGGTGAAGGAGTATCGTCTGTTTATTGCAGGATCCATGCTGCGTATCTTTTTTAAATATATCTTTCGCTGCTAGTTTTTCTTATGCTAAAACTTTAGTTTTTCAATTTGTTTCGGAATTTTCGGCTATTTTTCTTGTCCATGCTCGCGCTTTTCTATGTTTGCCTTTGCTTCGTTTGCGTTTTCTTCTTGTCTCATTTGTGCAATGCAATAAATTTTCCTTGACCGCCAACGAGGGAAAGCGTCAACCAATTGCTTTTCTTGTTGTTGTGCTCGTCGTTGTCGTTGGCTTATTTATATTTATTTTCCATGAGCTCGTTGCTATTTGCTTTTCCTATTAAGCGTTCGCCCACACACAGACATCTATGGGCAGTCGCATTTACATGTTATGTCCTGCCACTATTTGTATTTGCCTCCCAGTTTCACTTCCTTTTATTTCTATTTCAGTTTGGTTTCCTGTTTTGTTATTTTTTGGGTCTCTTAACGTTCTGAATTTAATTGAAACATCAGCAAAAGTTTCCGGAGACAATCTGTAAACGAAAGAGAGTAATGAAATATTGAATATTTATCTTAGTTCAAGCTTAGTGTTTTCATCCAATTAAGTTTTTCTATTTTTATTTGTTTATCGGCCTAAATATATTTGCGTATATCTATTTAATCTATACAAGTAACAGCAAAAGTCATTTGTCATTTTCTTTTGTTTTATTTTTGGTTTCTAATTAATGTTTCCGGTATCTATTTCTGGTTTCCTGACAGTAGGTTTTTATTAATGGCAGCCTAAAGCTATTTTAATACCTGCTTTTTGCGGGCCATTACCTTTTTCTAATCGCGTAATATACAATTTATTTATACTTGGCTAAGAAAATATGTCATAAATTGTTTTAATGAATATCAAAATTGACGGGATGTAAACTTAATATCAAACTATAATTTTATTTATTTGAAGGATGAAAGATAATTTTCTTTGACTGAAGCTTTCTTAAAGAAAATCTTATTTTGTGTGGCAAACATTTTTATGCTTTAAATGCTTTGTTCGTTGTAAGGTCCATCCTCCTCATATTGACCAATAGTTTACAGAATTATTTATCAATTCAAAGCTGCCATAAATATTAGATGGAATATTTGCAATACGCATTTAGTAGCTACTCCAGCCTGCAAGTGCTCAGAAATAGTTGCCAATGTCCTGAAGCCAACAAAGACAATCGTTTGAAATTGTCAGCTCACAGAAACAAGAAACCAAATGAATTAATCATACAATTTATGGCCAATAACTGTTAATTTGAATTAAATGCTCTCCGAACCGAAAGCCCTAAGGAAGGGAGCCCAGAGCTCGGTCTCAAAAATCATTGAGCAAAGGCATAAATTAACAATAACATTTTACTGTCTGCGATTGTGTAATTGTTCTCAGGCTGACAGAATTAAATTTGCATAAAATCAATTAAAAGCAAAAACTCCCGGAAAGCAGCCAGGGCACTTGGGGGAAAAATCTGTGAAAGCCTTTTGGGCAGAAAGTTTTCCAAAATCATGTTTTGTAATTAGAGGCCATGAATAATTTTAGCACCTTGTTGTCATCTATTTTAAGAGCCACGCACACACTGAGTCACATGTCGAACGGCGAGTGGCTTATGCAAAATAGTCAAGTCGGACCCTGAGTACACACACGCTGCGTATACTTGATGTTGGCTCCCGAGCCGAGTCTTTTGCATAATTAATTATGTGGCAAGCATAGCACTGGCTTGTTAAATATGCAAATATTCAGAGAACAAGGTCTAAGCGGACTTAGACACTGCAGGTCACTCACATCTTGGAAATCTTTGCTCCCAGATTCTTCCTTTTAAATTGGGTTTCCTTCGCAGGCCGTTTTAAAAGTGTTTTTGCCAAAAAGCTTTAAAGAGATTTGCCTATAAGGCCATGTCCAATGGCTTGTTGCAACACGCACACACAACATACTTTTTGGGGGCTGAGGAAAGGGGGAATATAGGGGCTTAAGCGCCTTGTATGAGAGCTCTCTGAATGCCGAATGAAGAATTGACTGCATGGCCATACGAGAAATGCCTCAGTGACTGACTGACTGACTGAATGACTGGCATTGCCCTCTGCCTGTGTGTGTGTGTTGGCCATTGTGGGTGCTCTGCCTGTGTGTGCGTGCTCTGTTGCCTTGAACAGCCCTTGATGTTAGTGCTTTTTGGCAGAATTTGGCTTTAAAATTTAAGCCCAACAAGCTCAGAGATTGAAGAGCGTCTTGGGAATGAGTGCAAGAAAATTTGGAGAATTACTAATAATTTTTGAGAGTACAGCAAGAATATAAATAAGCATGCTCATGAATATCAGATTTAAGGGGGATTTGGTTTTACCTAACACTATTCTTATATATTCTTACATTGCCTTATCACTACAGCAATAAATAGTAACTCAAATGGGATTTAACTTATCTGAGCTCAAGCCAACACATAAAAAATATACAAAAAATATATAAAGAACCAGTTGACAAATACAAAACCAAAATAATCATTTTATAAAAAAATCAATATTGCATAACTACATAACATAAATACACATTTCCCATGAAAATAAAAAACTCTTTAATTTACACAAATCACAACAGAATCATTGACAAACAAATATTATTGTTCACAATCAAATAAGCCGCTTAGTAATAGCAAGCTAAAAAACACACAGTACTTTCCAAAATTATGGCACATATTTCATGACCTCCTAATAAATAAAAAAAATATTTCCCATAACCGCAACCATTAAAAGCAAGGCCAATGAAATAAATTTCAAAGTTGCCCGCCGGAAAAATCTAAAATATGTTTCTCTCCAAAACAGGAGCGGGAATCATTTTATTTATCTCGATGTTTGAGTTTTAAGTGTCAATTGATAAGGCCATAAAGGGCAGCGAGCCATGGAACTGACCTCAGCTTGAGTTTCGGATTTTAACGATCTACTGGCAGAACTGCTCGCCCTTCTTCCGCTATTTCCTCTCCAACTCGCCTCGAACTAAATGAGACTAATGAAAGGCCATAACTCACAGCCAGGCCAAAGAATGTCCCAGCTCAGCGACTCAAATTAATTGGCATTGTACGAGAATGTCATATATACGGCGGAAAATAGAGGTGTCCACACGACTGCGGTCAATATAATAGGGTTTGTTAAGTCTCAAGTGTGGTGAATCAAATAACAAGAAAAACAAAAATAATCTTGTACAATAAATAACCAACATTTCTTTTAATTTAAATATTTAAATTTATTATATTATTTTGGCTGATACAAAATTAAGTTAATATTTGATCTACTTTGAGTAATGTTTTAGTTATTTTCTTAATGACATATATAAAATAAAGTATTTCTCACTTTAAATATTAATTTATTATTATTTTTTACCTCTTAAACTAGTAGATTAAGAATTCAATAGCCTATAATACCCATTTTAATGCCCTCTAAACAGAGTTATTTATTTTGGGAGTTTACAATTCAACCATAATTTCTGGTTAGTCAATATCATTATGTTCTTGGCTGTCCCTTACTTATGGTATATGGCTGTTTGCCCGTATCCGGCTATAGAATTTCATAATTATAATAATTTATGTTGACACCTGAGGCGTGTGCACAAATTGAACTGGCCTCAAGGTCCGCGCCAAGTTAATAAAACTTTAAGTTACAATTTGTGGGTGTATATATAAATGTGTGTTTGTGTGTTTCGTTCTCTTTCTGCCTGGAAAATCCCTGGAGAAATATGAGGAAAATTGTATGTCGCATAATACTCACTTATTGCTGCTATTTCTGTTGCTGACGATGCCTTTTCTTTTTATTTTGTTTTGCTCTATTTTTCAGAGAACTTTAAAGAAGGTCTCCTCCGCACCGGCTGAATTTATGGGGACGGTTTTTGCGGATTGGGGGCGGTGTTTTAGCCAAGTTTAGCTTTCGCTCTCACACTGTTTTTATTTGCTGCTGGCCCACGTGCATAATAATAACAAATGATTGGTTGTCACGCACGTAACGGTACTTTCATTCATAATTTATGCATTTTAATTTGTCAAACTAAGTATGAAAATACACGGGGAAACTCCACTTGCTTATGAAAATGAATTTTGTGTTTCCAACTGGGGAGAGATTAGTTTTCTTTTTCACCCAAGTGCATTATGTTTTGTTTGTTTTTTCTTTTCTTGTCGGTTACATTTTATTCATAATTTGCCTTTTCACAGCAGCTGCCACGCTGACACAAACACACTCTCGCACTCTCGCACGAATGTCCTCGGTTTTATCGCGATTTTCAGGACTCGGGACTGGAGCAAATTGGAGTGGAGCAAACCGAGAACGGAGAATCGAGAATCGAGGATATGCCGCACACGGACTTGTGTCGCCTTCGCCAACCACACAGCACCAATAACCGACCAAGACTAAAAGCTTTGCTCTCCTTATTACCTGGTTTTTACTTGGCGCCCAACACGCACACCCCCGCACACCCAACACACACACGAGCCAATTCACGAGCTCCAAAACGACGACCGGATATCAGGATAAAAGGCGAGCAAAACACGAAAAGTTTCGAGCAGAACGCACAAACTGGTTCGCATTGTCTGAGGTTGCGAAATCACGAGAGACAGAGAGAGCTCTCTCTTCCTGCAGGGAGAAAGTAAGAGAAAGCACGGAGGAGAGCTCGTTTGGCCTTCGTGATTTGTTTGTTCCAATTCCACGTTCTGCAGACGTACTTCAGCAGCCATGTTAGCCCAGAAAACATTAAGTCCCAGTCATGTTATTGCATGGGTAGTAAAAATAATGGGAAAATTTCTTGTGCTTAGGGAATTAACCATAATTTGGAAAAGACTAAAAATGCAATGATATTTACCATTTTATTTGTCCCTTAAATAATTAGAACTTAAAAAATAACATGCTATTTAAAACTATTTAAAATTGTTTCGTTCCTATATAGGGATCTTGATTTTAATCCCTTTCTTAGTTACCTTTAAGGTATTCTCCACTTAGCTATGTAAATAAACCAACCTACGTATACTTACATTTTAAAACATTTTTTAACTCTGAAAGTGTAACTTATTATTAATTTGATTAAATAAACATAGATATTTAAAAATACGAATGCATATAGAGGATAAAATAAATAAATACTATGCTCACTATTATATGTCTTCTAATATTACCCACAAAATACTACAAATTAGTAGAACTTGTTCCTTCCAAATGCTCAATTACTTACTCCGCCTAATAAACCCAGAGATGTTGTTCGTCAAATGCCTAGTTAAGTCCTCGCAGAGCCTGCATCAACAGCATTTCCTTTGATACGCACACAACATTGGTAAACAACGAAAACAATAGAAACAAGTGGAAGAACAAGGAGCAGGCTAAGAAGAAGTCGGAGATGTAGGAAAAGGAACACAGATCCTGGCCCAGTGAGGCATCAATAGAAAATACCAATAACATCGACATCATCCTCCGCATCATTAGCCCAAACAAAAACTGCTGACTGGGGCACAATGCCAGCAAGCAAATCGGGTACTGAGCATTTCCCCCCAATCCTGTGTTTCAAGTTCCCCCTATCCCAAATCTCCTATCCCCTACACCCCGTTCACATCTTTTCTAGACCATCGTAACCCTAGCTCGAGGGGCTCCAACTTTTTTTTCTGTGCTGCACATGCCCCGCTGGCAATTTGAAGTTGAGCCAGCAGCCAGGAGTTCTCCTCTTTCCAGTCTTTTCCCTATCTTTGTCTAAGACCCCCATCCTTTTTTACACCGAGAAAAAAGTTTTTTTTTTTAATAATAAAATCTACAAGGAGACCTGTTCAACTTATATAAAAATGTAAATGGGTTCAGTAATAGTTTATAATAATTATAATAATTATTTTATAATTTTTTTTACTTTCCCTTCAAATTTCTGCCAGTGGACCTGCTGGCATCGGCTCATTGACAGTCATAACGCTGAAATGCGCCTCAACTTGAACTAATTTGTGCGCAATTTGCGCGAAGAAAGGCGTCGGAAACACCAAAGGCAAAGCCAAGAGAGAGGGACACACAGATATAGCCAATGAATGGGGAAAGAGATGGTGAGACCCTAGGAGAAAGAGACGGCAGATGGGCGGAAAAAGAATGGCAAGCATTTGCACTTTTACTTAAGCGTAAAACTTTTCTTTTGCAGGTTGCAGCCAACTAATTTTGCTTCCTTTTCCTCGAATGGATGGAAAAAAAAGTGATGGTGGCATAGAGACATTCAGAGATAAGAAGAGATAGAAATACTGTTACTGATTGCGTCAACTTTTTCAGCAACTTGCTTTGTTTCAAGTTGTTTTTATACTCTGGAGTTTTCGATAAAGAAGTATATAAGACTCAAGAATAAATTGTATTTTCCAGTACCCTCACATTTTAGGATCTTTTGTTTTGAGAAATTTTTAAAATAAATGGATATTTTAATATTATTAACCAGTTTTTGATAATTTTCTTGAAATTGTAATCAATGAGTAATTCCTAAAAATAGAGTTTTACAAAAATTAAAGTACATTTTATTATAATATTCTTTATACTATATTTTATTAGATCCCAAAATATTATTGATTATCTTTTTACCATTTTTAGCATTAACCCGAATGTAAATACTTTTTAATAAGGGTTTTTAAGTTGTCATATCTATTTTAATACTCACATTGGTTTTATTCTGTCTTGTCTACCTTTCCGTTTTTGTGTGTCTCTGAAAATTGCATAAATTTGATTATGTTAAATTCAGTATAGGTGAGAAAGACCTATCCATTGCGGTCTACTCCTGTACATTTCCTTTGCCCCCAGAGCGTGTTAAGTTCGTCCCTTTGTGAGGCAAATCCAGTCCCTAATTGTCTTCGTCATGGACTGATTGAATCTCTTACACTCCACAGGCGGCTTTATTATTTAACGTTTCAATTACACGGCGACGAGTCTCAGTCGTAGTCCGATTCAAAATCGGGGAGTGGCATGTGAGTAGGAGGATTGAGATTCCTTTTGCCAAGGACGAGGCAAAGGCTATTTAGCATGTAAATGCGAGTCAGTGCCAAATAGTTGAGTCTCCGAGCCGAGTCTCTCTAGTTTGCATACAAATTGATTTTCTTTATGTTTATGGTGCGACTGCGAGGTAGACTGGAAAATAATTTTGCAAATGTTTCATTTGATTACGAAATGAATCTTTTCTTAGATCTTTCAATCTCTAATTGTCTTTTATGTCGAATGCAAATTAAGGTTTTTGCCCTTGATGGGGTAACCTCTTTAAAATTATAAATCTTACGCTTTATTCACAACATAGAATATTATATATGTTGCTGCTTTTAACACTTAATTCAAGACATAGAAAAGTCACTAAGACCAATAGAAATTAAAGGGTAAAACAATCCCAAAGTACTAACAAATCATAAAAACAACCATTACCTCGTGTTAAGCAAGCAAATAAACTTCGACTTATGTATTTAGTTACATGTGTTTATATTAAATTTTAAAGTACTAAATTTAATTACATTCAGCATTTACAATTTAATTTTTTATTTCTTTGGATATTATAATTGCTTGCATATTTCTTTATGACAACGTAAAAATTCCATTTAATTTACCTAGCCAAGTGCAATAAAGCGTGGTTTATTTTTCAACTTCACTTTATGGCCACAGTAATTAAGAACCTGCCGAATAAAGAAACTCAGGAAAAAATTTCACTTTCCGCGAACTATTTGCCGCAGGAAAAACACAATTTAGGCGAAAGAAAACCCTCATTCGAGCGCAGCGAAAGCGACTTCAGGCTCATTGTCGTGAATTTTTAGTGTTGAAAACAATTGAAAGTGTTGGCAGCTGGGCGCTGTGTTGATAAGGGAGGGGAACCAACACGACATGCAAACTCATAAATGCGGCCGCAAAAACACAGTTGCACACACATGAATACAATGCATTTACAACTGCCAGCAGAGGCAGCAGAATCAGAAGTAGTAACTATAACAAAGAACTCGGTCATTTGGTGCACAAAACGCAGCCAAAAGCACGCCCCATGCTGCTAAATGCTACACAAAAAAAAGAAGCAGACGGAAAAATAAAACTGGGAAAAAGGAATGCGGCAAAAGGACGAGGAAGCACGCACAGAAGGCACCCACAATTGCATGCATGCATGTGTGTTTGATGGGTGTGAAATGTTTGCCAAGCAGGCTTCAAAAAATGCCAGAAACGCTCAGATTCTTCAGCTAAATATTACTGAAAGTTAAGGAGTATCTATATAATAGGCATTTGTTTAAAAAATTTGCATATATTCAAAAACTATTCCTATTACATTTTTCCTACGAAAAAAGGCAAAGCTAATAATTTTATTATCCATTTTAAATATTTAGTGAAGATATATGTATATAAAAAATATTCAGTATTTTTAAGCAATTCGTTTTATATTTATTTGTCTTTTTATTATAAAGATATTAGCTCACTTTATAAAATATCAATTAAAAACAATCCGATGGTTGAATTATCGCTTATTTTATGGTGTGAAAACGATTTTGTTGACTTAAGTTATGACACTAGATTCGGGCGAATATAAAAGAACTCTTTGGGGCGAACGTGCTGGAATATTTATTCGAATCAATTTAGCTGCGACCGTAAACTGATTAATGTTGAGTGAGGTGGCCGCAAAATTGTGAGGTTCCGCTGTTCGCATGCTATTTATAAGCCTGCGGCTTTCGGCATTCCAATGCATTGGCTTCAATGAATAATTAAGCGGTTGGCGCTGCCAGGATTAAGAAGCACCTCCAGCCGACCGCAACCACTCACTCGCACTTGCGAGGCTCCTTTGCCACGCCCCCAGTTCGCTGCCACCGCCTCCAACGCACACATACACACACACACACATGTCAGGCTAAGAAGTGGCAGGGAAATGCGTGTGTGGGACATTTTTCACTTGTCAGGACATGGCGCATACGCCTCGTTAGCCAGGCAACCCAAAAACCTGAATGCGAGAAACGCCATCTAATTTATAGAACGTGGCGGTTATTTCTTTTAAGTGCTCGACAAATAGAAACAACAAACACAAAACACATTTCGTCACGTTCCCCAACATCCAACAGCCAGCAGCAGCATCAATATTTTTATTTGAATTCTGTCTCCCTTTTTGTTTATAATTTATTTGCATTTGCTCATTGAAATGCTGCACAAACCAAACGGGCCCAAGAGCCACGAGCCTCAAATAAATGGCAATCGTGGGAAAAGTAGGGGATTGATGGTACGGAAGCTATGTCATTTTGCTGCTGGATATTTTGAAAGGATACGACTGTTTCAGTTAGGAATGCTATCATGCTTAGGTTAATACGAATAATATAGAGTATATTTTACATAACAGTTTTTAGCACTGGCCCGTAAAAGCCAGAGAGTCAATAAAATTGTGTT